GCGCTATGGCTCTTTGTACAAACCATTGAAAATTTGTATAAAATAAATCTCAAATCAATAAACTAAATATATTTCAATAACTTTGAGTTGTTTAAACAAATATTTTGTCTGTTACATCATTCAACTGTATTAAAACAATATTTTTTATCAGACACTGTCCCGTTTGGACGGCCGACATCGCTTTTTCTGTCAAGTTTTGACACATATTTGTAAGAGTTTTTGTTTAGTATTTGCACTGTCTATATAGAAAGTGATACGTAAGATATCAAAAAATGATTATAACCTCTTTATTTGTGTTACATATAATTAGCTCTACTGGTCAGAGACCAGAAGAGCTTATGTGATAGTAATGCATCCTTCCGTCTGTCTGTCTGTAAACAGTTTTTCAAAATGCTACTCCTCCTACAGTTTTGGTCTGATTTCAATATAACTTGGCACACAAGTAGACTACACTAAGATACACAATTCTGTGTATCGGTTTTTTATTTCGATGAACAGTGTTGACATTATTCCTAAAAATAGAAATTTCTGTTAAATAATTTCAAAATGCTACCCCTAATACAGTTTTAGTCTGATTAAAATGTGGCATGCAAGTAGACTACACTAAGAACGTAAAGAGACTTAATCAAGGCTCATTATTCTATTTATTGATGTTGTAAAGTTTGAATTCCCACGGCTACTTTTGCTAAAAGTAACCAGAAGTCTCTGTCGAGACTGTAGCTCTACTGGTTTATACTTAAAACAAAGGAAGAAAAAAGTAGCAGTTGGGATTTGAAACTTTAAAACAGCAATAAATAGAAAATTGATCCTTGTCAGTCATCAAAATTGAAACTGATGCACAGAATTATGTATCTTAGTGTAGTCTACTTGTGTGCAAAGTTATATTGAAATAGAAATTAGCATTTTGAAAGAATTTCACAGAAATTTCTATTTTAAGTAACCATGGCAACACCGTTCATCGAAATCAAAAACCGATGCACAGAATTATGTATCTTATTGCAGTCTACTTGTGTGCCAAGTTATATTGAAATACAGTTTTGAAAGCATTTCACAGAAATTTCTATTTTTAGTAACCATGGCAACATCATCAAAATCAGAAACCAATGCACAGAATTATGTATCTTAGTGTAGTCTACTTGTGCATAAGCTTTTCTGGTCTCTGACCAGTAGAGCTAAAAACCAGTAAAGCTTCAGTCTCGACAGAGACTTCTGGTTAGCTCTACTGGTCAGAGACCAGAAGAGCTTATGCGATAGTAATGCGTCCGGCGTCCGTCCGTCTGTCCGTCTAGCTGTCTAGCTGTCTGTCCGTCTGTCCGTCTGTCTGTAAACAATTTTTCAAAATGCTACTCCTCCTACAGTTTTGGTCTAATTTCAATATAACTTGGCACACAAGTAGACTACACTAAGATACATAATTCAGTTTTTGATTTCGATGAACGGTGTTGCCGTGGTTACTAAAAATAGAAATTTCTGTGAAATTCTTTCAAAATGCTACTCCTCCTACACTGATTTCAGTATAACTTGGCACACAAGTAGAATACACGAAGATACATCATTCTTTTTATTGGTTTTTGATTTTGATGAACGGTGTTGCCATGGTTACTAAAAATAGAAATTTCTGTGAAATTAAACTCCTCCTACAGTTTTGGTCTGATTTCTGTATAACTTGGCACACAAGTAGACTACACTAAGATACATAATTCTGTGTATCGGTTTTTGATTTCGAAGAACGGTGTTGCCGTGGTTAATAAAAATAGAAATATCTGTAAAATTGTTTCAAAATGCTACTCCTCCTACAGTTTTGGTCTGATTTCAGTATAACTTGGCACACAAGTAGAATACACTAAGATACATAATTCTCTGTATCGGTTTTTATTTTGATGAACGGTGTTGCCATGGTTACTAAAAATAGAAATGTCTGAAAATGGTTTCAAAATGCTACTCCTCCTACAGTTTTGGTCTGATTTCAATATAACTTGGCGCACAAGTAGACTACACTAAGAACATAAAGAGACTTTATCAACGATCATTATTCTATTTATTGCTGTTGTAAAGTTTCAAATCCCAGCTGCTTAAGTACTTTTCTCTTCCTTTGCTATAAGTTCAAACCAGTAGAGCTTCAGTCTCGACAGAGACTTCTGGTTTTTATTAAGTTTTGACTTGCTCTATATAGAAAATAATTATTTTAAAATTAATCTGAACACTTTTTATAAGAGTTTATGGCATTTTAACCTTGGTCTGTGCACACTATCTGCGATCTTTAAAGACCCCAATTTTTACAAAAATATTAAGTTTCATCAATAAAAATTAAATCATTATGAATTGGTTTTTCATAAGAAATATTTTGATATTCAATAGATTTATTTAGAACCATTTATTTTCACACAAACGTCATTGTTCACAAACATTTTGGACAACCCTCGTACATGTTCTTACTTTTCTAAAATTCATCAAAATTTTGAATTATTATCATCTTCTTGATGACTTTTCTAACATAGGACATATCATGGCAGATGAAGAAATACAGGGTTTTCAGATATCCTCTTGTTTATTAAAACACTATATAGATTTCTCCATCAAAGTTTGATTTGGGTACATAAAATGGTAACTACAGAATATCATCCTTTGATTTTAGCTATGGTATCACTGAAATATTTCAGTTTTGCAATGAACACTTTAATTAAGGGTTTGCCCAATATTTTGAACATGAGATTTTATCTTGATTCAGCTAATTTGCATGTTTCATATAACACTGAAACATGAGGGAAAGAAGCAAGCCATTTAATGCTGAAGTATAATTATTGTTTGTGATAGATATATAAACGTCTGATATTGAAATACAAACAAGCACTTTATGCTAAAGTACTGGGTACTGAAAACTTGCTGATTTCAATTCTTGCAGAACAGTGATTTTGGTATTCCATAATTTAAGTTCTTATGCAAATAGCTGTATGAAAAAAAAGTCACATATATAATTTTGCACAGAACAATAGACATTATAGTAGTCATTTTTTTTTCAGTATTCTTATTTCATACAATGAAGAAATGATGTTTGTGATATACTTTGTACTTTGGCTGCAATTAGGAGAAACTATCAATTGTTGCCCCAATTATATAGACCATATTCAAGGTTTAAAAACATTTATGTACCAATAACAAAGAGCACAAAATCGCATTGGTAATAATTTTAGATTCATACTCAGAAGCCCCTCTGTTCACTCATATATAATTTGCTTTTAAAGCTAATGATTTTTCTAAATGACAACTTATTTTGTCCACTTCAAGTAAAGTTTAAAGGGGATAACTTTGTAATGGAGAATCATTGGAAGGTCAATCTTAGTACGGTATTAAGATTATTCATCTTAAAGTACTAGTACACTGTACATCAAAACCTTGACCCAAGGTCACTCTGCCAAGTTCAAGGTCACTGGCAGAAAAAAATATAAAATTTAGTCTGGGCTATAATTTTATATAGTATTTGTCACAAAAACTGCCTTACACAAGTTTCATCAGTGTTGCACCTTCCACACTTCTATAACTTCTGTTCCCTGCCCAGAGGTGTGATGAGTAGAATTCTCTCTGCACTTTCAACTGCTATTCAATAATTCATGCTTCTATACTCACACAAATGTCACTTCTCTTCCTTGCCAAGAGTTTTGATAAACTTCTCTCCATCAGAGTTACATTGATGTTCTGTAAAACTCTTTTTTTGAATTGCCTAAGATATCCTCAATATCCCACCTCTACTCTGTTCTTATTCCTCACTGCTAACAGTCTGCTACAAAACCCTGGTACTCGCTGTTAACAGTCGGCTACAAAACCCTGGTACTCACTAACAGTCTGCTACAAAACTCTGCTACCCAATGCTAACAGTCTTCTACAAAACCCTGGTACTGCTAACAGTCTGCTACAAAACGCTGGTACTGCTGACTGTCTGCTACAAAAACCTGGTATTGCTAACAATCTGCTACAAAACCCTGCATTCACTGCTAACAGTCTGCTACAAAACCCTGGTACTGCTAACAATCTGCTACAAAACCCTGGTACTGCTAACAGTCTGCTACAAAACCCTGGTACTGCTAACAGTCTGCTACAAAACCCTGTATTCACTGCTAACAGTCTGCTACAAAATCCTGGTACTGCAAACAATCTGCTACAAAACTCTGTTACCCACTGCTAACAGTCTTCTACAAAACTCTGTATTCACTGCTAATAGTCTGCTACAAAACCCTGTATTCACTGCTAACAGTCTGCTACAAAACCCTGGTACTGCAAACAATCTGCTACAAAACTCTGTTACCCACTGCTAACAGTCTTCTACAAAACTCTGTATTCACTGCTAACAGTCTGCTACAAAACCCTGTATTCACTGCTAACAGTCTGTTACAAAACCCTGTATTCACTGCTAACAGTCTGCTACAAAACCCTGGTACTCGTTCTAACAGTCTGCTACAAAATCCTTGTCTTCATTTATCATGTTTATGCATTTATTTATATTTTTTTATTAGAAATATTGTAGTGAATTTTTATAAAAAATCAGACACAGATATATTTATTAAGAAAACTGAAAAATGCAGAAAATATTTTTACCTTGACCTATAGTCTTGGTACAGTTGCTTTATTTTTCAGTTAAAAAAAGTTGTATTATGATGATTACTGATAATATTAGGTAGTGCAACTAATACTGGCCAACTACTTTTTGTGTCATTGTTTATTCATAATTCATCAGTTTAAAATCATTCTGTGATGATTTATTTTCTTGACTAAGGAAACTTTCTCTACAAAAACAAAGCATATATTGAGTGGTTCATGACAATTGATATTCACAAATTGAAGTAGGTCACAAAGCAGATATTTCTCCCACATGAATAAAAGTTGGTTTACAATATAAAGCTATAGTTTGATATATGACTTCACCATGTATTGTTTCACACTGCATCTTAGGTATGCTCACCTAAGTCAAAAGTTTTTAAGTTATTTAATTTTATATATGCATACAGGTACAAGGGAATATTGGAAACCATTTTGAAGACAGGAGGCAGTGAAATGCTGCCAAGCTTGCAAGCTTTTGTGGAAGCATGTATGTAGACAATTTAAGCAAATTGGAGATTTAGTGCAGAAATACAACTGGGTTTAAATTTTATGAACAATGAAAGACAGCCACTGTTGTAATCACAAATAGTGAATTCAATACAATATAAAAAGCAATAAAAAAACCTAACATGGCTTTGGGTCTTTTTCTTTACACTGAAGAAATGTCCTTGAAAATTTTGTAAGGTATTCTATCATTAGGAATGCTATGATTAATTATAACAGTAGTGTAGTATAAACTCCAAATTTTTTATCTTTTGTCAGTGGTGAATGAGAACGTGAGCTTGGTGATTTCTCGTCAGCTGTTGTCCGATTTCTGTGCTCACCTGCCCAATCTAGACGACTCAGTGGCAAAACAAGTCGCCCATTTCACTCTGGAAAAAGTTCACACAAGAGTTATTTCTTTTGAGGAACAGGTTTGCATACTAATTTTTAATTTTATAAAACAAATACCGATAGTTAAAGTGTTTCCTATAAAATAATGTGAAGTATATCTTGATTTTTTTTTATATAGGTAGCTGCAATCAGACAACATTTAGCTGACATTTATGAGAGACAGTCCATGTGGCGAGAGGCTGCTAATGTCTTGGTGGGAATTCCCCTGGAAACCGGACAGAAGTAAGTCATACTCAGCTTGAAATTCTCCTGTTAACACAATCAAACCTTGTGTTGTCAATAAAACTTAGAGAGATATCCAAGACTTTGAGAAATTGATAATGAAAAAATTTCTAATGCCCTGGCCCCATGACCATAAACTGAGAATTATAGACTTAAGTTAAAATTTTGATTCGGAATAATTTTACTTTTATTTAACATATGTTCTTAAAATATTGCAGTTATGTATAATATTTAAATTCTAATGATGCAAATTCAGGTTCATTATCTTCTTTTTTTCAAAAGTTATATTGATTTGAAATTTTGATTTAAGTCTATTCTCAGTTTATAGTCAAGGGGCTTGATAAATGTAGCACTAGTCTTCTTCAGCGATTCTTGATAACATTTTTACAGCCAAAGACACAATTTAACACCTAGAAATTTTTACAAAGATCAACAATAATTTCTATAAAAATAAGAGCTCAGTCTGCATATTTTGGGACAACCCTCATATTATATATATAAGAAATACAAATTACAGTAAATACTATACATTAACATAAATGAGTAATTTTTAAAACAAAACTTAGGGCATGTCATGTGTTGTCAAGAAGAGCTATGTTTTTGCTCATAGAACTTCAACCACATTGAAATACATGTACTGCAAGGGAGAGGGAGTTTCTTATACTTACAGGCAACCCATTTCAGATGATAATTCCTGAGTATTACCAAGTATAAGAAGATAAACATGGCACTCCATGATAATTCCTGAATTTTGCATGAAATTTTCACAACTAAACACAACTTTCTTGTTATAATGCAGAACTCGAATGAAAAAAAAACAGTAACAGGGAGATTTTCATAAATAGACTTAAACTTTTGTTTTTAATTGCAAAACTTTAAAGTGTAAAATATTCTATATATTAATTAAGTTTATAAAACAGTAACACATAATAATTAGAACAAAGGAGGAATTAATGTGTGACATTTAAGCTTTAAGCGCTCTTATAACATTCAGAGGAGTGCCTCTTCTGTTATGAATTAATGTTAATATAAAGATCTGTTCTTATATATCGAACAGAATAAAGCTAAAAACAAATAGTATTATATATGGCATAATTTGAAATCAATTCTTGTATGATCAACAGTTTATTAGATAGATTGAAAAGGTAATTGATAATAACAGGTATCAGAGGTGTCGGCAAGTATTTCACATTGGGGAGGCGAACTAGATTGAAGAAAGGGGGGGTCCTACTCTTAACTATCTTTTTGTGACATAAACAAAATAATTAAAATTTCTGCCAAAAATGTTGATATTGTCGCTGCATTTTATTTCCGGAAATATGCATAGCATTTCCGACATTTTTTTATTTCATTTCCGACATTTTTTGTTTTCATTTCCGACATAATTTTCTTTTCATTTCCGGAATTTACCTGTGCAGCAGTTCAATGTTTTCTAAGTAAAAGAAAATGAACTTTCAAAAGTATTTATACCAAAATATTAATAAAATATAATAAAAAAAATGTACATGTATTCATATATGTAGCACTAAGTCTTGGTAAAAGTGTTCAATGAGCAAAAACTTTTTCACCAAATTTAATGTGCACTAAATTAAATGTCAGTGACAGCACTGAACTTATGTCCAAGTCTCGGATAGATTACAAAATTGTATTTAAATGATTTATTTATGATTTAATCCTTTAATGTTTTCATAAGTAAAGTTATTAAATCTATTAATATAGGTACTACTTTGAAAAATGTCGGAAATGAAAATAAAAAATGTCGGAGATGAAAACACAAAAATGTCGGAAATGAAAAGTTGATAATTACCAAATATTCCGGAAATGAAATGCAGCCGATATTGTACCCTTTCAATCAATAGCCTAGTAGAGATATAGTACAATTAAACATGCAACAACAACAACCATTGAAATGTTTCACGTGTTTTTAAGTTATTTATATGTTCCATAAAAAAAACTGGGACATTGTTAAAAAGTTAGGAGCTAGTTTTTATATTATTTATTTTCGAAACCCATACATGTAGAAAAAACTTTGAAGAGTTTATGACGATATAAAAATTAAAATACACATAAGTTTCTATTATTGCATAATATTTGTTGTTACTTTGAATCTTTCCAAAAAAATGCATAATTATGAAATTTTGAATGAACAGGGTGATAAACTGATATTAAATCATTCATTATCCCTCTATTTTTGAAATGCAGAAATATGTATGACATTCTTTTTAAAAAAAAATCAACTGAAGATGGTAAAGTACTTGATATTACCCAGTATTTTGCTTTAATTTTATAGCTTACAACTTCGATTCATCAAAGAATTCCTAACATCGTCCTATTGACAGATTGATTTATATACAATGAACATGCAGGCCTGTTATATGCGGGAAGGTTTTAGGGACAGCTGAGGATGGGGGGACTAGTTTAATTTTTCCAATTTTCTCCACTTATATCTGTGAATAGTCTTTTTGGCTTAAGTTTTGAAATGAAAAAATTTCTTCGTTCACATGCTGCTTGCACCCCCCTCTTAATACACACTTTTTGTTGCTGTAAAGTCAAACTTAGGCAAATTCAGCATGTAAAAATAAAAATAAAATAGAATCCCACCCCACCCCCAAAATATAGAATTTCCAAAAACATTGCTGGCTGAGGCCTGAGGAAGAATTTGTTCCAAACTTGCACATGGAGCAATAGAAAACCTGCTTATTGTTTACACACACCAGGTATACAGGTATCCCAATTAATTAGCGTCTGTGTAAACAATAGCTTTCACACTTTGCTGCTCCACTGACCAGTTGACCACCGATTGCTGTTATTCTTGCCGCTCCATTGACTACAGATATTGTAAATACAAATTTTGTGATTCTGTATTTCTAAAAATTCATTTTTCTAAATTTCATTTTTTTTTTGCAAAATTATTGGGACGGCGACTGTTGCCCCTTTGCTGATGCCCCTTGGGTTGAAAGTTCTTAAAAACTGTACCAGTATATTTGAATCAGAGCTTGAAAGTAAAATTAACAAATGTTTCAGTTCAGTCTATATAGGATTCTCAAAGACTTCATTAAAACAAAGAACATTTATTGTAAAAACAAAAACAAAAACAAAAAAACAACTAGAAACCTACAGAAATTATTGATTATTGTCCTGATACAGAATCTCATGGATATACAATGTAGTAATTACTGAAGTGGTATAAATATATCACATTTTCTTTTCCACAATCTTTGATATAATGGCAGGTAGCATTCTCACATTAAATACGAGGGCCGTTCAAAAATTAAGCGGACTTGTTGCACAGAAAAAATATTTGTCGACATAATGGAACAAAATGTCACACATAATAAAAAAGAATCTTTACTTATATGGTCTTAAATTTCATATCAAAATGTTGTAAATTAGTATCAATTTTAAGTAATTTTTCAGGACAAATCATTAAGTCACGGAGCAGCAAAATCTTCGACGTCACGGGCATTATAAGAAAATATGTGATTGAGCTTTCATTTTCTCAACATTTTCCCAAGAGTACCTGTACAGTTTGAGTTGCCTTATCTACTCAACATCCAAACACTATTTCTTGTCAAGCTTAAAATCTATTAAACAAGTAAATAATATTCTTTTTTTTGTTTTAAACCCAAAATCTGCAGGTATTTATGAGATACAGTGTGGTATTGGTGACTCTCAATCACGTTCTTTACAGTCCGGATAAAGTTTTCGTCGATAATCTTCTTCCCGTCCTCCCGTATAGCCTTTTTACAGAGGTCTAACGGTCTAAAATTTCAATTTGCTATTTGTGGACGAATGTCACGAATTCCCTAGTTTACTACACGTTATATTATGCATATTTTGGATCTAAGTTGGCCATATCTCGAGAATTACACATAATTTAACAAAAGCGTGATGCGCCGTCAATTCAGGAGACATCATTTTCACAGTCGTTTTCACGGGAATCGCATCAGAGAAAAATCACTATATTTCTGTTAGTACTTCAAATATCACGTCAGAAATCTAAATACACAATAATAGAACAATTTACAGATACATTTGAGAAAATTGTCGAAAAATATTGCGAATTTTAGAAAATTAATGAGTTAAATTTTGGATTCCACATGCTTTTGCTTCAATTTTTTTTGTCGTGCTCCGTACCTCTCCATCAGCGATATAAATATACCGATAATTTTAGTAGAATTTCTTTAACATACAGAAATTTGGTCCAAAACTTATTGGAATCTTAAAATAATAGCACAGTCTGCGTAATTTTTGAACGGCCCTCATACTTTTCATTTTCTTATCCACAACTTATGGATTTCTGCATCAGGAGAACTAGTATTTATTGTCAATTATGCTAAACCTTAATTATTAGTTGAAGACTTACTTCGTTATTTATCTTAAAGGTTGATTTGATTAGCAGCATTTCATTGCGTACTGCTGTAGGTATTGGAATCTCTTCCCATTCATTATTTTTTTCTTCTTCCGCACCTGTTGTACGTATAATGTGTGTACACATGTATTAACCTTCCTTGCTAAAGTATATAATTTTCTCTGATTCACTTTCGTCACTGTAAGAAATACCAATATTGAATTACTGGACAGTATGGTATTTTATAGAGGCTTGTCAAAGAATTTTTCGTAGGGCCAACCTTTGCAGTCTGGCTTGGTCTTTAATTTAAACAAAATCTCTTTCATAAGTAGATTGCAAAGAATTACAATTTCATTCTATTAATCATAATTATTGTGAATAGTTCTAAGTTACCTACCAATAATTGTGGGAATACATAAGTGCAATTAGTTTATCAATGGTTTCAATCGTGGTATAGTTGAATTTTACATTTAAATATACAGGGGTGTCGGGAAAGAGGCAACAGGGGTGGCGATTGCCACCCCAGTAATTTTGCCCCCCCCTCCCCCACCCCCACCCACCCAATGAATTTAAGAAAAATGAATTAAATGAGAAAAATACAGAATTATAAACTCTAATTTGTAATGGATTATGTATGTGGTCAGTGGGG